CTGCCTCTATGTGTCCTGGCTTTCGGGGTGACTATCCCATCCGGGCCCCATTGCAGAGGGCAGGTGGGGACGGGGTGAGGAAGGTGTCAGTGCGGGGTACACAGCAAGGAGCAGAGCGGGCTTGTAAATCCAACTGTCAGAGACGGGGGAAAGCCCCACTGGGAGCAGATCTCCAGCTGGTGCAAATCGGCAGATCCCGTAGAGAGACACGAGGACACCACCTGAGGATCTGTCCATCCAGGCTTCGCAGCAGCATCACCCTCTCTCCTGCATTCCAGCACCCTGGCCACTCCACGGCTGAGGGACAAACGATGGGGCGTCCAGCACTGCCTTTGGGGGGCGGTCGGCCAGACTGAGGATCTCCAAGGGCTCTCCCAGCACTCAGGGGGGGCTCACAACTCCCACTTCAGCCCAGTTTTTAAAAAGAGGGAAACTGAGGCACGGTGACTTGCCCAAAGTTACACTGCCAGTAGCAGAGCTGGGAATGGAACCCAGGAGTCCCGACTCCCAATTCTAACTGCTAGACCCCGCTCCCTTCCCCGAGCTGGGGACAGAAACCAGGAGTCCTGACTCCCCCTCCCCCTTACCACCACTAACTATACTTTTCAGCTCTGCTTTTAAACCAACGTTACCTGGTGTCCTTGAGGGTGGACACTTCAGTGTTCAGGCTGGAAAGTTTTCTTTGCAGCATCCAGAGGGTTAAGGCGAAAAGGACGGAATTCATCTAGAATCAAAGTAGAGAGGTGGCAACATTTGCAGATACAAAATTGCTCAAGATAATTAAGTCCCAGGCAGACTGCAAAGAGCTACAAAAGGATCTCTCAAACGAGGTGACTGGGCAACAAAATGCCAGATGAAATTCACTGTTGTCAAATGCAATGTAATACACACTGGAAAACAGACTCCTAACGATACATATACAATGATGGGGTCTAAATTGGCTGTTACCACTCAAGAAAGATCTTGGAGTCATTGTGGAGAGTTCTCTGAAAACATCCACTCAATGTGCAGGGGCAGTCAAAAAGCAAACAGAATGTTGGGAATCATTAAGGAAGGGATAGATAATAAAAGAGAAAATATCATATTGCCTCTATATAAATCCATGGTGCGCCCACATCTTGAATACTGCGTGCAGATGTGGTCGCCCCATCTCAAAAAAGATATACTGGAATTGGAAAAGGTTCAAAAAAGGGCAACAAAAATGATTAGGGGTCTGGAACGGCTGCCATATAAGGAGAGATGAATAAGACTGGGAATTTTCAGCTTGGAAAAGAGACAACTAAGGGGGAATATGATAGAGGTCTATAAAATCATGACTGATGTGGAGAATGTAAATAAGGAAGTGTTATTTACTCCTCATAACACAAGAACTAGGGGTCACCAAGTGAAATTAATAGGCAGCAGGTTTAAAACAAACAAAAGGAAGTATTTTTTCCACACAACGCACCGTCAACCTGTGGAACTCCTTGCCAGAGGATGTTGTGAAGGCCAAGACTATAACATGGTTCAAAAGAGAACTAGATAAGTTCATGGAGGATAGGTTCATCAATGGCTATGGGCAGGGATGATGTCCCTAGCATCTGTTTGCCAGAAATTGGGAATGGGCAACAGGAATGGATCACTTGATGATTACCCTTTCTGTTCATTCCCTCTGGGGCACCTGGCACTGGCCACTGTCAGAAGAGAGGATATTGGACTATGGACCTTTGGTCTGATCCAGTGTGGCCGTTCTTATGTTTGTATGTTCTTATCTCACTAACCCTAATTTGCCTCAGGTTCCGGGGAAGGGATGTGATGGGCAGCTGGGGGGGTCTCGACATGAGCAGAAGCAGAAAATTGTCACCATCCAGAGCAAGTGTATTGCTGTCTGGTCTGATTATTCGGCCAGATCCCCAGCTAGTGCAAATCAGCATTGCTCCATTGAAATCAACCGAGCAATACTGACTTACGCCGGGTGAGGATCTGGCTTTAGCAGGATTGATCTCGTGGGTCTTATCATCCCATTCCCCGACTGGGCCAAAATCCTCCTTGGCATGTACTCCTTCGAGGTCAGTAGCATTACACCAGGGGATGAATTGGGCCCACAGTGCTTAGCAATAGACAAGGGAAGCCAGGCAGAGCTCCAGACATCACCGTGCTGAGGTAGGCAGCAGGGTCGAGCCGCAATGGATACGTACCCCGATGATGACACACACCGGCCCCAGGAAACTCCAGATGAACCCCTTCTCCATGCTGAGCCAGCAGCTACAGGAACAAAAGGTTGATGTGACATTCACTGAACATCAGCAGCCTGGTGCAGCGATTATCATTGATATTAGTGCTACCCGAAGAGGCTTCCACCGAGACTGGGGTCCCATTGGGCACAGCTACAGAGTGAGGGACAGGCCCTGCCCCAAACAGCACCATCTAAATGATAAGACAGATGTGGGGGGAAGGGAAACTGAGGCAGAGAAGGGGGCGTGTGACTCATTTCGGGGAGTTCTCTGCCCTGTGTTATACAGGAGGCCGGACCACATGATCGCAGTGGTCTGGCCATAGAATCTATTAATTTTATTCAAGGTCATGGACAGAGGCAGAGAGAGAACCCAGGTGTCCTGCGCCCCAGTCAACTAGATGCTAGAAACTGACTAATTCATTCATGAAGGACAGCAGCACAGCTGTCGAGACAGATGCCCACTGGTCCAGAGAGTCTTTCCCTGGGGAGCGCTGGGACACACACACACACACACGACACACACAGAGCGCTACACACACACAGTGCTGGCTTAAGACAGGACCTACTCTCTTCACTCCCCTTTTTGCACTCACACAGCGAATATGGCCTGCAGGTCTAACCACAGTACATCAAATTTCCTTAAAGCCGAGAATGCCTTAGATTTGGACCGTCTACTTATAAGGCCCCATCACTGTAGCCTCTAACAATCTTTAATAGATTTTGTCTCCCAATACCCCGCTGCAGCAGGGCAGTGCCATCATCCCCATTGCACACATGGGGAAACCGAGGCACAGAGCAGCTAATTGGCTTGCCCAGCACCAAGCCTGTAGAAGAGCTGGGACTTGAACCTGCATCTCCCCTAACACATGTTAATGCCCTAACCACTGCAGCCTCCTTCAGGGCCAGTTCCCCAGCTCGGGCGCTCACTTTTCCTGTCTGCCGTAGCCCTCCGGCATAACCGCCGCCGAGACGGCCACTACCAGGGCGGGGAAGCCGTAGCCGAAGAGGCTCAGGTGCCCCATCTTGGGGCTGTGGGTGCTGAAATAGTTGACGACCCAGAGGTTGCGGACGGTGAGGAAGAGCACCACGGCCTCCAGGAACATCCAGGCGAAGCAGGCCAGGAAGAGGTAGTGCAGGATTCCAGCGATGACGGCGCAGGCCAGCTGGGGAGGGAAGAACGCCCGCGTGAGCGCAGAGATCGCAGGCTCTGCTTCTGCGTGGTTCCCCAGGCCAGGCTAGCACTTAGGGTGACCCCTAGTGGCAACACTATGCAGAACACGGCAGGAGCTGCGAGCCAGAGAGAACCACAGGGTCTGTGTCCAGCAGCCCGGCTAAACAACGTTTGAGCATCGCCTCCATCTGACCATCAGGGGCACTGTGGCCACCACTGTCTTCTGCCACACAAATCCCAGCTCAGGGGGGCATTTCAAAGAGCCCACTGGAGGTCTGGGGCCTTCAGCCTGCACTAACGAGCACTTCTCGAGGTCTTTTCTAGTCCTATGAGTCTTTCATTTAACAGCCTCTAATGGGCATCCCTGGGCTTGGTTCCCCTGCATCAAACCCACCCCTGGGAATTACCACTGTAAGAAGGGGTTTGCCCTAGGATCTCATCTCTGCCCTGATGGCCACTGCTAGCTGCATACCCAACATGCTAGCGGCCCAGTGCTCACTCTTCAAAGTAGGTATCATCACTCCATCACCCAATAATCACTCACGCTTCAAAGTAGGTCAGTATCATTACCCCCATTTTACAGATAGGGAAACTGAGGCACAGAGCAGGAGAATGACTCCGTCAAGGTCTCACAGGAGGCCAGTGGCAGAGCCAAGGTTTCCTGCGTTCCAATCTAATACCCCGTCCACTGGTCCGCACGGCCTCTGTTAGTCTGCCCCTCAAGTGCTTTCCTGGAGTCCCCGGCCCACGCCCCTGGTATCACGTTTTTTCCAAACTGCTTTATTCTTCGCTTTTTCCTTATTTTTATTTCATTTTTT